AAAAAGAAAAGTAGTTTTAGGAAACCAAGAGTGAAAAACTCACAAAAAGAAAAGTAGTTTTAGGAAACCAAGAGTAAAAAACTTTTAAACACAAGAAGAAAAATAAGTTTTAGGAAATCAAGAGGGAAAAAACTAACTTTTAAACACAAAAAAAGAAGTAATTTTAGGAGCGATAAACTAAATTTTCTTTAACTCTGTCCCCACTTATATACCATTCAAAAAACTGTGACTCCCGTGTACTCGTTTGCTGTTAAACTTGTTAATAAAACGAATCCAGCAGAAGACACGTTTAAACCACAGTCTGTGCTATAATGTTTACAGCAAGCTAACCCAAACATGTGCTATAATGTTTACAGCAGCTAACCCAAACATGTGCTATAATGTTTACAGCAGCTAACCCAAACATGTGCTATAATGTTTACAGCAGCTAACCCAAACATGTGCTATAATGTTTACAGCAGCTAACCCAAACATGTGCTATAATGTTTACAGCAGCTAACCCAAACATGTGCTATAATGTTTACAGCAGCTAACCCAAACATGTGCTATAATGTTTACAGCAGCTAACCCATACTACAAATTATATCAGTAGAGATAATTTTTTATTTGAATACTAGTGTAATACAAAGAAGAAGCATAACATATTTTATACTTTATATATAAATAAATAAATAAAACAATTTGTCTTCATATAGCTTTGCGTGAACTATCGAACATGTAGAATATAAACAGCACAAGTTAAACCCTTCTTATAATATCATCAGCACGTACGGATCACCACCCCGTTCTTCAACCCAAGCCCAAGCTCTTAGTTTCGGGTGCCCTTGTGTTCCCCCGTTCTTCAACCCAAGCCCAAACTTTTAGTTTCGGGTGCCCTTGTATTCTCAACAACAATGAGTTCGAGTTTCGTTTCGTTTACAATATTGTTATAATCAGACCAAGAACAATGCATGTAAACAGACTGACTTTATATAGATAATCCATCTCCTTCACAAGGGATAAACTAATTATATGGAGTAAGTAGCTTCACACAACTTTTTAAGTTTTCTTATTTAAGCTTCTGACTAAACGCTGTTGTAAGGAAGTCGAATATTTACGTCAGTTTGAAGGACGTTTAGAATCAAACAAGGATAAATCATGACTTACTCATAACGTTTCTTGTTTCAGACGTCACAATTCGGCTATTTGCCATCTGGCATCCATGCACTATAAATATAATGCATGTAAGTTGACCACGTATCAAACAACCACAAATTACATTTAACGATGTGCAAGTACAATGTGCAGTCAGTGTACTGAAAAAGGCTTAATATTTTATATAAAACAAAAAATACTCATGAATGAAATAAATATGTGAATAATGTACCAAAGTGTAGTAAGATTATTTTTAAAAAAAAACATTTTGGGCCAATAGAGAGAGTTTAAGCTTAAGAAAAAGAAATAACGTTTTTCCGTTCAGCCAATAGAAGTAGTTTGATGATCCTTAGGAAAACATTTTTTTTCCTCGAGGCCAATAGTAGTTTGATTATTCTTATGAACCTAATAATGTTTTTCTTTCAGCCAATAGAAATAGTGGTGATCCTTAGAAAACCTAATAATGTTTTTCTATTCAGCCAATAGTAATAGTGGTGATCCTTAGGAAAACAAATAATATTTTTCCTTTCAGCCAATAGTAATAGTGGAGATCCTTAGAAAACCTAATAATGTTTTTCCTTTCAGCCAATAGAAATAGTGGTGATCCTTAGAAAACCTAATAATGTTTTTCCTTTCAGCCAATAGTAATAGTGGTGATCCTTAGGAAAACAAATAATATTTTCCCTTTCAGCCAATAGAAGTAGTTTGATGATCTCTAGGAAAACATATTATTTTCCTCGAGGCCAAGTTATTTGTATTTTCTGACAATTCCTTTTTTACAGTGCTTAGAGAAAAAAAAATATTTTTTTCCTATTTTTTTACTCTCAACCAACAGAAATAGTTTGACCGTATTTAAAAGACAACAAAAATAAACCCATATTTTTCTTTTTCTTTTTTTTTACTTTCAGCCAATAGAAATACTATCCATGGATCTTATGATCAAATATTTAATTCAATGAAAGAAAACCGACGGTTAATCACGTTAAATCTTTCGTCATTACATAACAAGCATTGTTTATTAATTCAAATTATCTGTATAACTAGGATTTTAACAGATTTATATTTCTTTGACAAGAACGTTTTCCCGCTGGGTTTTTTTATATATATAAAACAGAGTACTCGGGAGTAATGGCAGATCAGTCAAGTAATTTAAACACACATAACCTTTTTTTAGCGTTTTTTTGTTTTTTTTACCATTTCCTTATTTGGCAAGCCGCAGTGGTTTCTAAACTGTGTATCGCAACAAGTTAGTTACTCGGGGTGTTGCGACAGTTTCACCAAACAAAGAATAATGTAAAACATAAACTCTACAAGAAAAATATATTGCATGTAGCATTGTTTGTTTGTTTTTAATTATGCACAAAGCTACACAAAGGCTATCTGTGCTCTGCCCACCACGGGTATCGAAACCCGGTTTCTAGCGTTGTAAGTCCGCAGACATACCGCTTTGCCACTGGGGGGGGGGCAGAGCATGTAGCAGGAAGGGTGTCGCGCAAATAAAGGTAAGTGTCGTCAGTGGAAAAAGTTTGGAAACCACTGGCTTAGTGGTTATCGTGAAGCCATGGTTTGCGTCAAGTTGCTGAACAAACGCACTACGAAATTTGAGTCGTTCATGGATGCGCTATAAAAGTGACAGTCAAATCCCACTATTCGGTCATACAAGACTAGCCTAGATGTCGACGGTAGATAATTTGATCATCTTAGCCTAGTGGTTAGTTCTTTGTACAAGAAATAAAGAGA